AATTACTTTGCAACACACCTGGAAAGATAAGCAATTACCTGAAAACCAGCTTACGGAATACTTTAAATGCCAGGCTTATAGAGTTTGTAAGGGAAAAGCATTCAAGGCTGATGTGTCTGATCAAGGTGATGCCAGGTTTAGGGGTGGGGTGGGGAAAGGAAGGGGGTTGGGACCTAGTGATTGTCATTCCTTGTATAGGGAGAGCTCTCCAAAGTCAAAATCCCTCTCCTTTACCCTTGCTTAGTCAGCCAGGCTTCTCCCGGGCACACCCTCCATAGGTAAATAGGAGCAAATTGGGGAGGATGAGCTCGGCCATCAGGGAAGTCTTCGTGGAGGAGGTGGCGCCTGAGCTGAGTCTGGGAGGGAAGACTCTGAGAGGAAAATAAGTAGGAAGTGCATTCCAGGCCTGCGGTACACCTTGGGCAAAGATACAGAAGGGTGAGATGGAATTTCAAATATGGGGACCAGCTACTGGTCCAGTTTGACCAGAATGAAGAGTGGGCTGAGAGGAGTATGTCAAAATAGGCCTGGAAAGGTAGGCTGGAAAACGCCTGCCCGCCCCGCCTTTCTCCCACAGCTGTACTGGTGAGGCTCCAGAAAGATAATAGAAGGAAAGGCTTTGTAACCAGAAACGGGAGAAAAAAAACAGAGGGCAGGTCCCTGTTGGAGAGTTTGAAAAACTGCTGAGAGCTTGTCGCTCCTTGCCATGCCCTTCCAGAAAGTGCTCTGGTCCTCCGCTCTCCCCACCTCTGACAAATCTGCTGGTGTCTACGGTGCACCCAGGGAAGCGTTTCAAGCCAGAGCGAGAGACAATTTTGTTGTTCAGTAGTCCTTTCAGTTGTGCCCTGATCTGGACACAGCCGTGACCCCGTCTGAGGTTTCTTGGCACAGATACTGGAGCAGTTCGCCATTTCCTTCTCCAGCTCATTTTACAGGTGAGGAAACTGAGGCAAACAGGGTGAAGTGACTTGTCCAGGGTCACCCAGCCAGGAAGTGCCTGAGGTGGGATGGATTCAGAGAATTCCTTCTTCCTGGCCAGCCCTCTATCCACTGTGGCGCCACCTGGCGGCCTCATTGTGAGAAACAATGCCTAAAGAATAACAATAATCAGTAACAACTTGGGTGTGTAAAATGCCTTAAACACATTATTTCCACAGATAATGGTAAAACCATTGTTTACATGGCACTTATGGAACAGGTGCTTTACAAATTTGATTCTCATTTGATCCTCACAACAGTCCTGGGAGGTAAGTCCTGTGATCATCCCCATTTTACAGTGGAGGAAACTGAGGCAAACAGGGTTAAGTGACTTGCCCAGGGTCATGCAGCTAGCATCTGAGGCCAGATTTGAACTCAGGTCTTCCTTATTCAACATATCACTCTACAATTTAGGTGTGCAAAATGCCGGATAATGGTAACAGCTAACATTTATATGATCACATTTGATCCTCACAGCAACCCTGGGAGGTAGGTGCTTTATCCCCATTACTGTTTACAGACTATCCCCGTTTTACAGTTGAGGAAACTAAGGCAAACAGAGGTAAAGTGACTTACTCAGGGTCACATAACTAGTAAGTGTTTGAAGCTGGATTTGAACTCAGATCTTCCTCACTCCTAGCACAGTGCTCTACCCACTGAGCCACCTAGCTGCCCGCAGATACCCAGAGAGCACTAGACTAGGACCTAGAAAAAGACATGGGTTCATGTTCCTACTCTGACGTTTCCTGGTGGGCAGCTCACTGAGCCTGTTTTAACACCTCTACCTCTACCCCTACCCCCCTGAAATGGATAATACAGAATCCTAGAGTTGGAAGGGGCCTCTGAAAGCATCTAGTTCACCCTTTATCAAAATAAAAATCTCCAACAAGTGACCAGTCAGGCTCTGCTTGAAGACAGGGAGCTTACTAGCTCCCAAGGCAGCCCATTCTACACTTTTTCCTCCATTCATCTCAGGGATCTTGTGGGAGAAAGCATTGAAGATCAACTCTAAAGCAGACCAATTATGATATTAGAAGATTAGTGATGAAACCCAATCGCCACCTCTTGGCAGAGAAGTGGTGGGCTGGAGGTGTAGAATGAAGCATCCATTTTCTAATGTAGCCACTAGATTAATTTGTTTTACTTGACTTCTTGTTCAGTAGTGTCCAACTCTTCATGACCCTGTGTGGGGTTTTCTTGGCAGATAACTGGAGTGATTGACTGTTTCCTTTTAAGGCAGACAGAGGTAAAGTGACTTGCCCAGGGTCACATGGCTAGTATGTGTCTGAGTTCACATTTGAACTCAGTTCCTCCTGACTCCAAGCCCGGCCCTCTATTCACTGCACTACCTAGCTGCCTCCTAGTTACTTGACTACACAGTACTTATCTGTTACAAGGGAGGGTTTCTCTTGGGGGATGGGGACAGGATGAGTTATCAGTGACAGAAATACGAAAAAGAGAGCTGCGATAAATTTTTTTACAAACAACAGAGAAGAAAGAGAAAGTTCAGAGAGGGATAAACAAACAGGGTGATTTTGTTCCTAGTGCGCTAAATTCAATCCGAACATCACACCAACTACGTAGCAAGTCCGCAAGTTCAGACACAACTCCCTTTTCGTCCCTTGGATGCTAAACCATTCGTGTCGGTTGACGATTAAGTTCACAATCTCAAGCAACGGATTTTAATTCTAAACACCCCTAGAGCGCAGTAAAGGTGGGAGCTCAAGCTTCTGAGATATGCTCTCCACAGTGTCCGTGGTCCATGGCTCTTCGGTAATAATGGAAAACGTCTTAGGGGGTCAGAGATTTCCGGCTGGAAGGGACCTTTGAGGCCATTTAGTCCAGACCCCTTATTTCCCAGATCAGAGAGGGGAAGAGATTTGTCTTGCTATACAGATAGCAAATGGAACAGCCAGGAATTGGAACTCAGAGCCTCTTCCCCCAAAAGGAACACTCTTTTCCATTGTCCTAGGCAACATCCAGAAAGGAAGCCTGGTCTGTCTTTGAAGCTGTGTGACACTGGGGGAGTGTCTTCTCTTTGGGCCTTGATTTCCCTATCTGGAAAAGGAGGGGGTTGGAGGGGGTGGCCTCTGAGGCCTCTCCCGGTCAGGCCAGTCTATAAATTCCAAGGGACATTCCATTCCTTCCCCCATGGAGCAGTTTATCTGTACTGGGGGGTAACATCACTGCCTTCTACTGGCAACTAAGGAGATGAATCATTGGGAAGGGACCACCCTAACAAACCTGTTCCCCCCTGTACCTCCTGAATCTAGAAGTCTAGCTTTGAGGAGGAGAGAGAAAGGGAAGATTTTATAATATAGCACTTACTGTATACCAGAGGTGCAGCAAGGTGGCATGATGGATAGAATGCCGGGTCCGCAGTCAGGAACACCTGACTTCAACTCTGGCCTCAGACACTTACTAGCTGTATGACCCTGGGTAAGTCATTTCACCCTGTGTGCCTCAGTTTCCTCATCTGTCAAATGAACTGGAGAAGGATATGGCAAACCACTCCAATATCCTTGCCAAGAAGACCCCAAATGGGGTCATGGAAAGTCAGACATGACTGAACAAGATGTGGTAGGCCCCACTCTAAGCTTCTCACAAATATTGTCTCATTTGACCCTCACAACAACCGGGGGAGGTAGGCACAATTATTATGCCCCACTTTTTACAGTTCAGGAAACTGAGGCAGACAGAAGTTAAGTGACTTGCCCAGAGTCACTCAGCTAGTCAGTGTCTGAGGCTGGATTTGAACTCAGGTCTTCCTGACTCCAGACCTAATTCTCTAGCTGTGACTCTACCTAGCTACCTTTGGCTTTAAAGGACAGGTAGGCCTATAGGCCATCCATGAGAGATGTAGAATACCAGCTCTGTTCCTTCTGTGACCTCAAGCAAATCATTTAAGCCCCCTGGGCCTCAGTTTTGTGGTTAAAGGTATTGGGTGAGATGGCCTTGGAGATCCTTCCAGTGTGAGCTATGAGCCTGTGACTAGGTGACCTCTGTGGTTTCTGCTAGCTGAAGATTTTCAGATGTCGCATTTATACTTTGTGTGTGTGCCCTGGTGGTGTTTAATTTAGAAAAGCCTAAGGGGTGTGGTAAAGCCCACTAATAAATGAAAAAAGAGCCAGCCTAGAAGCCAGGAAGACCTGGATTCAAATCCCTCCTCTGACACATACTGACTGTATGACCATCCTGGATTCAAATCCTGGCTCTGCCAATTACCAGAATCCCCAAATCTGAGAATTGCTGGGACTTCAGTAGACATTTAGTCCAGGGTACAGGCTATGTACCTTTGGAGAACTCCCTTTCCTTGTGTGGGCCTCAGTTTCCTCCTCTGTAAAATGAAGGAGTGGCTGAAATGACCTCTCCTTCAAAGCTCTGATGGAGCTTCAGTGTCTTTGTTGTTGTTTTAGTAGTATCTGACTCTGTGAACACACTTGGGGTTTTCTTGGCAAAGACACTGGAGAGTTTTGTCATTTTCTCCTCCAGCTTATTTTACAGCTAAGAAAACTGAGGCAACAGGGTTGAGTGACTTGCCCAGGGTCACACAGCTAGTCAGTGTATGAGACTAGATTTGAACTCAGTAAGATGAAACTTTCTGACTCCAAACCTGGTGTTCTGTGCACTGTGGCACCCCCTTGCAGCTCTGATTTCTTTGGGTCCTTTTTCATCTCTGTGGGAAGCTATGAAATCCCCAGGACGTTTTCATAGCGTGAAACCAAATAGGCAGACATTGGGAAGTAGCTGGTTCTGTGTCTCCTCTATGTTCCCTGACATTTCATAGGGTTAGAGACTGGGAGCTGGAAGGGACCTTGAAGGCCAGTGAATCCAGCCCCATCATTTTACTGAGGAGAAAGTTCATGATTTCAGTCACCCAGGAAGTCATGTGCACGGCTGGAGATAGCAAGTGGCCCAGCTAGGATTCCAGCTCAAGGAACTTGGAGTACAGCGTTCTGGGTTCCCTCTGGATCTCCTTACAGAGTAATTCCCATTTCTAATGGCAGCGCCAGAGAGCTGACCTTGGTTCCAATCCTCTTTGTGCTAAATCCTGATCGGGTGTCCTCTGCAGCACGCACCTCTCAGCCTGGTCATCCAAGCCATGGCCTTGAATCGTAAGTATTCTCTCCTCTAATGATCCCACAGGTCCAGTCTCCATTCATTCCCATTTCTGAAGGACTTTAATCCAAGGCACAAGCCTCACACCAACCCTGCAAGGGAGAGGGAGGTGGAAATGTCACCCTCCCCGTTTTTTACAGTCCCCCCCATCTCTGTCTCTCTGTCTCTGCTCTGTCTCTCCCCCTCCCTCCTTCTGCCTCTTTCTTTCCATCCTTCCCTCCCTCCCTCTCTCCACGCTCTGTCTCTCTCTCCTTTCCCATTCTCTTTCCTTCCCTCCCTCCCCCTCCCATGCTCTCTCCCTTTTCTCTCGCTGTCTCTCTTCCGTCTCTCCTCCCTCTGTTACTCTCTTTCTTTCTCTCCCTCCCTCCTTCCCTAACTCCCTCCCTCCTTTCCCCTCTCCCCCCTCTGCCTCACTCAGTCTCTTGTCTGTCTAGCACATAGCAGAGCTGGGACTCCTGAAACCCAATCCAACGGTCTTCTCATTGCTACCGCCCTGGAAGACTATCTAAATCCTGAGAGCAGAGAAACCCCTTTACCATCTCTCCAAAGATGATGATAGATCAAGGATCTCGGTTCCCTCCTCTGTTACTTAACAGAGGTTCGGACCGGGTGATCTCCCAGGTCCCTCCCCATTTTGCTGTTCTCTGCCCCTAGAGACACAATCCAGGTGACGCAGTCACGCTGAACCTTCTTCACGGTCCATGTTGCTAGGGGTTCCCAGTCCCGGTTACTAGGGGGATCGAACAGGTTCCCCCCCCCCAAAAAAAATGCGGGAATTGGACGAAATGACCTCTAAGTTTCCTTCCAGCTCTGAAGCCAATGATCTCCAGGCCCCCAGTGCACGTGCTGCGTTCCCACACCCAGAGCGCTGAATCTCAGGAACAGGCGGGGGGTGCGACGCATGGGCCGAGGGGGCGCGTGGGGGCGCGCGGGCCAGGGGCGGTTAAGCGAGGCGTGGGGGGTGCGGGGTCGAGGGCGAGGGCATCGGCCAGCCGTTGCGGAGGTAGGCGAGCCCCAGGGGCCAGGCTGAGCTGAGCCGGGCCAGCGGGGAGAGGGGGCCACCATGACCAAGGACACCCCGAGCCCCACAGGGAGCGGGGGCCGCTACTCTCCCAAGAAATCTCCCGCCAGCCCGAGCCCGGCATTGCTGCTGGAGGAACAGAGGAGGGAGCTGGAGACCGTGCGCGCCGAGCTGGAGGCCGAGCGGGTCCGCTCGCAGGCGGAGCGGCGGCGCTTCGCCACCGAGACCCGGGAGCTGCGGGAGGCCGGCGAGCGGGAGCGCCAGCAGTTGGTAGACCAACTACACTCCCGCTGGGAGATGCAGCGAGTGCGGGAGCTGCGGCAGCTGCAGGAGGCCATGGGGCGGGAGCGCGACACCGAGATCCGCCAGCTGTTGCGCTGGAAGGAGGCCGAGCTGCGCCAGCTGCAGCAGCTGCTGCACAAAGAGCGGGACTGCGCCGTGCGCCAGGCGCGGGAGCTGCAGCGCCAGCTGGCCGAGGAGCTACTCAGCCGCGGCTACTGCAGCCGCCCGGGCTCGGCGGCCGTGGGCCCGGCCGCGGGCGGCCTCGTGGGCGCCGCCGAATGCCGCTGTAAGCTTCAGGACGTGCTGGCCAAGCTGCGCTGGGAGACGGACGGCGAGCAGGCGGCCCGCATCCGCCACCTGCAGGCCGCGCTCGACGTGGAGCGCAGCCTCTTCCTCAAGTACATCCTGGAGAACTTCCACTGGGACCCAGCCTCTGTGCTCTCGACCCGGGCCCCGCGGCCCAACCTCTCCCGGCCCGAGCCCGGGGCTGCCGCCGCCATCGTTGCTGTCCACTTCCAGGCTGCAGGCGCCGGAGAGCTGCCAACCGTGGGCATCGGGGAGCTGCCAACAGCGGGCGTCGGGGAGCTCCCGGCCCCAGCCGCCGCCGCCACCATCGCCACCGCCACCACCACCACCAGCGCTGCGACCCCCGCCTCCACCCCCACTCTTACTCCGCTGGGGCCAGCCCCCCCAGTCGCTACAGCCACAGGCCCAGTTTACCGCCCGCGGCCCGTGACCTGCGCCACCCGGCCACGCTCTCTGGACAGCCTGTGCGCTCCGCGGCCGCGTCCCTACACGCTCCCCTTGGACGACACCGCCGCCCGCTCCTCCCGGTCTTTGGACGGTAGCCCGAGCCGAGCCGAGTCGCCCGGGGCCGGCGAGCCCGAGGCCGGCAGTCCACTGGACAGGAGCCCCCACTACCCAGCGGTCCTGCCCCGCCCACAGTTGGCCCAAGACAACCTGGGCACCGGTGAGAAAGTGCCCCGTGAGGCGCCCCGGCCTAGCCCAGATGACCATCAGCTGAGCTGCAGGAGACCGCCCAGGGCCTGGGGGAGCCTTCCCCACAAAGAGGTGCCGAGCCTACAGCAGCCCGAGAAAGAAGGCGAAGCTGGCGAAGTCCCCTTGGCCCTCGCTCCGAAGCAGCCGGCCAGCGTGGCACCCCGGCACGAAGCCGTCCTGGAGCTGGATTACAACGACCTGGTAAGACAGAACTCGGAATTGGCCGAGGCTCTGGAGACCCTAGCCAGGCACTGCTCCGGCCTCCGAGAGGAGAACAGCCAGCTGCGCCAGGGCTTCCCAGAGTCCAGCGAGAAGGTGCGGCGCCTCAAGGTGAAGAACGCAGAGCTGGCGGTCATCGCGAAGCGCCTGGAGGAGCGGGCCCGGAAGCTACAGGAGACCAACCTGCGGGCTGTGAGCGCCCCGGCCCCCGGGGAGAGCTGCGCCGCCCTGGAGCTGTGCCGCCAGGCCTTCGAGCTTCAGCGGGCCAAGGACATGACGGAGCAGACGAGCGCCCTGCTGGCCAAGGACAAGCAGATCGAAGACCTGAGGCGGAAATGTCAGGACCTGCAGGCCCAGGTGGCCGCCTGCCAGGGACCTGCCCAGTGGTTCAACGTCAACGGCTTTGACCATCTCCTGCGGGAGTCCCAGAAGGAGGTGCTTCGCCTGCAGAGGCAGGTCACCCTGCAAAACTTCAAGTGCCCACAAACCCAGAGGGCTGCCTCCCCGCCCCCCTCAGCCCAGCTCCAGAATCCTGGGAGGGAGGAAGCCGCTGAGGCCCAGGAGCTGAAGCTCCAGCTGGAGGCCTTGGAGCAGACACTCAGCGAAAGACAGAAGTGTTGTAAGAACCTGGAGCTGGATGTGGGCAAGGCCCAGCAGAGATTCCAGGAAGCTGAGGGCCGGCTGCAGCAGGTGCTGAGTGAAAACAGCTGGCTCACCCGGGAAAACAGCAAGCTCCAGGAGAAGGCCCAGTGGATAGAGAAGGTGGACTTGGAGAACAGCAAGATGCGGGGCAAGCTGGAGCTGGTGAGCGAGGAGCGGGACTCGGCAGCCCTTCTGACAGCCCAGCTGCAGCAGCAGGCCAGCCGGAGCGAGGCCCAGCGCCAAGAGCTGGAGCGGGAGCTCCAGGATGCCCTGAGCGCCCTGGCAGCCCAGCAAGGAGAGGCCCAGAGAATGCAGCAGGCCCAGGAGCAAATGCAGAAGGAGCACAGGGAAGCCCTGCGAACTCTGGAGGCCCAGCTCCAAGAGCTGGAGAAGCGCTGCGCCCAGCAAGCCCAGGAAGCTAACCCCCCCCCACCGCCACCGCTCAGGGGGAAGTGGGCCAAGAAAGCCATCTGCCCCCTAGAGGGCGTCCCTGACTCCAGGACACTGGCCAAGAAGGCCAGCACCCAGGCCAGCGCCTCAGACACTGCCTCTGGGCTGCCCAGCGTTCAGTCTCATCCAGCTCCTGAGACGGAAGAGTTAGAAGCAGACAGCCTTTCCCAAGCCCTTGAGCCAGAGGTCCCCAGAAGCCACCACAGCTACCAGAGCCAGGACAGCCAGGACAGCCATGGTCCTTCTAAACTGAAGATTTTCCTAGCCCGATATGACTATGACCCATTTGCAGGCCCCAATGATCATCCAGAGGCTGAGCTGCCCCTAACCGCGGGGGAGTATATTTATGTCTTTGGGGACATGGATGAAGACGGCTTTTATGCTGGAGAGCTGATGGATGGCCAAAGGGGACTGGTCCCCTCCAACTTGGTGGAGCAGATTTCAGACAGTGAGATCCTGAATTTACAACCTCCAGAGGGTAGTAACTCCTGCCTGGATTCCTCCCAGGAAGTGAAATCACACAGTGAAAACCCTAGTCCTGGGGGAAAAGTGAGTGATTCCTTGGAGGAAGTCTCTTGTAATCTGCTGCCAAAGAAACTGGAGAAGGACATCATAGAGGAGGCTTTGGACTTTTCTGGGGTTCCCTGCCCCTCAAAACTGACTCTGATCCAGCAGCTGCCCCGGGGTGTGGTCGTGGACTGGGAGGCCCCCTTTGCTCCCAACACATATGGGGCTGTGCAGGGCTATAATGTCTATGTGGACAACGAGTTGTGGCAGAACATCTGTGCCGGGTCCCAGACCAGAGCCACCATCAACAACCTGGACCTGAAGACGAGGGCCTACCGCATCTCCGTGCAGAGTGTGATGGAGAAAGGCTGCTCCAACCGGCTGCAGTGCTCCTTCCTGGTGGGCCGGGGCTTCTGCCCTGCCCCAAGCCAGCTGAGGCTCAGGAATCTCACCTCCACCTCTGCCGAGATCACTTGGCTCTACAGTAACAGTAGCTACCCCCACATGGTGTACCTCAACAAGCAGGAGCACGGCCTCACCAAGGCCGGAGTCTGCTGCTACACCTTTCAGAACCTGCAGCCCAGCACTCGCTACTGTGCCCATGTGGAGGCGCGGCCCCATGGGGAGACCTCCAAGAAGCTGTGGGAGGAGATGGCCTCCCCAGTTACTTTTACCACCCCATCGGCCGGGCCACCTGACCCTCCCCTGGATGTCCTGGTGGAGTGCCACACCTCCCCAGGCACTCTGCTTGTCAGTTGGATCCCAGTGACCATTGATTCAGCAGGGTCATCCAATGGGGTCCCTGTGACGGGCTATGCTGTGTATGCAGGTGGGCAGAAAGTCATTGAAGTGCGCTCCCCCACAGCAGGGACTGTCTTGGTGGAGTTTTCCCAGATACAGCAACAAAAGCTTTCCCAAGAGGTCTCCGTGAGAACCATGTCCCATTATGGCGAATCCCTGGACTCGGTGCCAGCCCAGATCCCTGGGGAGTGGTTGAAACAGTCCAGATCTTACCGATCACCCCAGGCTTTTCCTGTCAACCACAGCTGTGGGGAGCTGGCCCACCCCCAGACCCCTTCGACATTGAAACCATTTGTACCTGTCTCCCAAGAGAAGTTCATTCTGGGCAGCTTCAATACCAGGGCCAGCACCCCCCTTCCTGCCAGCTGTGGGAGGGCTAAAATGATTGCCTCTGATGGGTTCCCAGAAGACAGTTTCCAAAGGGGAGTTGCAAAGCCTTCAGAAGGTGAGTTGCCAAGCCCAGGAGACATCAATGCCCCTCAGGGAGCTGGAGAAACCTATGCCCTGAGCCCTCTGCCTTCTAGCAGGAAAGAGTCCCATGGGCCTAAGACCATCAGAGACAGCAGGTTTGGGAATCCCAGACATCTGTCTGATGGCCAGATTGGGGTGGAGGAGAAGAATGCTAGAAAGGCTGTTCCAAGATGGATCCAGATTCAGGAGTTGTTAGACACTCCCCCAGAAAATGGCCCCATGAAAGAGATCTCTAGAGAGAACAATTCTGGTGGGAAGGTGCCTAGGAATAGAGTAGAAGCAAAAGCACTAAAGGGGATGACTCAATCATCAGAGGCCCCTGCTGATTACAGCCACATGGCTGACCTGGCCAGTCTGGAGGAAGAGGACCAGTATGCAAACATGTGGGGGCCAAGGAGACCTGGCCAGAAGAAGGAATTTAGGCTCCTAAAAGGACAGACCAGGCTGGCTGGTCTGAAGAAAGCAAGCCCACTCCCAGAGCCCAGTGCCTTGCTCTATCCAGCACCCTTAGGGAAGATGACAAAGATCCTGAAGGCCAGCCCCGTGATGGCTGCCCCCAGGCCATGGTTCAGGGCTCCAGGAAGCAGCCCTCTGAAAGGAAAGGCTGCAAATGACCACGTCCGACTGTTTGTGGCCCTTTGGGACTATGACCCCCGGCTGATGTCCACCAACCCTGCGACTGCTGCAGAAGAGCTCACCTTCCAGCGGGGCCAGCTCCTGAAGGTCTGGGGGGATCAAGACGCGGAGGGATTCTATCACGGAGAGTGTGCGGGTCGGATGGGCTACATCCCTGGGGACATGGTGTCTGAAGTACAAGTGGAGGGCAGTGACATCCTCAAGAAGCTGCTCTGGCAAGACCGCCTGCCATCGGGGGTGTCCCTGGATGGCCTCCTGGGACTCTCTACGCAGCCCCAGAAGAGCTTCTCCATGGCAAGGGGGACCCACCGGCGAGTCCAGCTTTGGCACCCACAGACCATGGTGGCCGCCTTTGACTACCACCCCCGGAAGAGCTCTAGCCTGAGCGTGACCGAGGAGCTGAGCCTGAGTGCCGGTGATGTGGTCACTGTGCTGAGCTCCGTGGATGACAACGGCTTCTTCTATGGGGAGCTAAATGGGCAGAGAGGTCTGGTCCCATCGAACCTTCTGAAGACCCCAGCCCTGAATGCTGAGTAGCGGAGGTCCTGCAGACCTGGCTTCTGCTCATCCTTCGTCCAGGACAGAGCCGAGCCAGCTCCTGAGAGCATGGCGCATTGACAACCACCACATCTATATAAAAAAAGCCCCACACCTTTTTTCATCAATAGAGACTATAGAATTGTACTCACTCTGAGAACAAGGTTTAAAACCTGGCTTCAGGTAATTAAAAGAAACAACAACAAAACCCCGTTATTTGGGGTGTGTCCTGACAAGGTGCGCTGTGGTTCCAGATGAGTAATTTGATCGGTTTGGGGAATCCCCTCCGCTGATGTGTTGGTGACTCTTCTGTAACTGAGCAGCCCGGGGGGACTGAGAGGCTGCGCTTTGCCGAGGCCGGCCCAGCCAGTGGCAGACAGAGACTGGATTTGAGCCCAGATCCCCCACGACTGCTGAGGCCCAGCCCGGCTATCCGCTACCCCTCTGGGCTAATGCGGAATGAAAACTGTTACGAGTGGGCTGGCCGGGACAGGGTAGAACTCGCTGATTAGGGACAGGGCCGGGGCCAAACTCAGGGCTGTCCGCCGGACAGGCTTCTTCTCCTAGGAGAAGAGACGATTGGTGTTTCGAGCAGGGACGCTGCTCAGTGATTGAATGGTAGACATCTCATCCATGTGTCGGGCTACTCTGGCATGGGAAGAGGGAGGTCTAGAAGATATCCACTTTCTAGCTTTTCCTAAGCTGCCCCTCCTTAAAATGCAGAAAGGAAAAAAAGAGTATATTCCCTGTATATCTCATTTCTTCCCTCCCTTCCCCTGCCCTGGATACAGGAGCCAACTCTGGAATCCCTTCCTGGGTGTCCAAGGGTGGGGGAAGGAACGGTGGAAGGGTGGACCTTGAAGAGCCTGACTCAGGCTTTGTCAGCATCCAGACCTGCATGGCTTAGGATCATAGGATCCAGCCCTCCCCCCCATTTATTCAGAGGGGGAAACTGAGGCCCAGAGAAGTGATAGGACTTGATCAAGGTTACAGAGATAGTATCAGGAGGTGGATTTGACCCCAGAATCCATGCTCTTTCCACTATCCCAGGCTACAGTGTGAGGTCCTAGACAGATCTGGGCAGATTGGTGGAGGTATTGGAGTCTAAACAATGTTGAAATCCACTTCCTTCTAACTCATCCCCGTGAAGGTCACCCCTCATGTGTAGATCAAAAGGAATACCAGGTAATCTGGACCCAGATTGGAGGATGTCTCTTATCACATCATCGGGACTTTCTCTACTTCCCCAACACACATATCCATTCCCATACCACCCCCCAACACATCCCATACCATCCCCCAACACACACACACAACACACACACACACACACTCATATACACATACATGCACACATGTATACATACATGCATATACATATACACGCGCACACATACACACACACACACACACACACACACACACACACACACACACACACCCTTTAACTGCAGAGACCTGCTTGGACTGTCCTTTTCCATGAGGCTGGGGGGAGATTAAGGGGAGGATCTATACCCCTGTAACTTTATAGAAATCATTCATTCAACAAACATTTGTCAAGCTTGCCCAGAGAGTGGGCTAACTACTGGAGATTCAAAGTCAAAACCAAAACATTCCCTGCCCTCAAAGAGCTTACATTCTACTAGGTGGTGGTTGGAGATAAATTATGAGAAATATTCTCTGGCTTAAATTATATGCTTTGGAAGATGAAATTCCTTTAGGGGGTTGGGAGTGGAAATTACAGGACCTCAGATTTAGAGCTGGGAGTTTAGAAGACAAGTCCAATCTCCTCATTTGTGGGAAACTGAGGCTAAGATACTTGCCCAAACTCACACTAAGTACCAGGTACCACTGAGAACCAAAAATGTGTGAACTCCAGCCTTCCTTACTCTCTTGTTGCTCTTCAAAGTGTAGCCCTTCTAAGCTCTAGGGGTCCTCCCACCTCCTGCTGGTAGGGGTAAGTTGCTCCTCCAGGCTGTATCTCTCACCCTTGGAGTTCTGGGGGTATCTCTGGGAGACTGTGGGGTTCTTCTCTAATGTTCTCAACTCAAGCTCCTGTTCCAGTGTGTTCTCCCCAATATCAGTCTCCAGTGGACATAGATTCCTAGTTTCATTTAACCAATTAACACCAATTCATTTTTCCAAAGGGCTATTTCCCGAGACAATAAAGCAAAAATCGTCGTACAGATATAATTCTCTCTAGCCCCAGGGGCACACTTTCTCCTGTTCCCACGTAGTCCCTGGAGAAACTTGACTTAGCCTTAAAGCAGTGCCTGTAAGGTCTTTGTCCCTCCAAGTCGAGTTCTTGAATGTGGAAGAGCAGATGAACAGATTGGGCATCTCGGCTGAATCAGGAGCCACGCTCCTGAATACTTGCAGTATTTATAATACCTACCATACTACATCTTTACATTAATTGTTTGAGCCCCACAACAAAGTGCCATTGCCTCCATTTTACTGAGGAGGAAACAGATCCCACAGGTTAAGTGACTTGCCCAATGCCACCCAGTGAGTGCAAGAGGGTTGGCATCTGGGATCCTCTGGACACTGAATCCAGCATTCTCGCTGCTCTGCCAGGCAGGTCACTCAATAAACATTTAATACGTACTGTGTGCTAAGCACCAGAGAGAAAAAGAAGGGAAAAGACAGTCCCTGCCCTCCAGGAGCTCACAATCTAACAGAGACAGCCTGCAAGTAATGATATTCAAACAAGCTATCCATAGGATAAATAGGAAATAATCAACAGAGGTAAGGTATTAGAATTAAGAGGAATTTGGAAAGACTTTTTGTAGAAAGTGGGATTTCATTTAGGACTTAAAGGAAGCTACAGGTAGATGAGGGAGGGAGTTGCAGGTGTGGAGGATGGCCAGTGAAAATTCCCAGAGCCAAGAGATGGAGGGTCCTGTTCATGGTACAGGGAGTTGGGTGTAAGAAGACTGGAAAGGCAGGATGGGACTTGGTTATGAAGGGCATTGAAGGCCATCCTGCATTTTGTATTTGATCTTGAGGGCAATGGGAGCCTCTGGGGTTTATTGAGAATAGGGGTGACATAGTTGGAACTGAGCTTTAGGAAAATCATGTTAGTGGCTGAATGGAAGCTAATCTGGAGTGGGGAGAAACTGGAGGCAGGGAGGGCAGACGGGCTGTTGTAAATCCAGGCATGAGGTAATGAAAGCCTGCACCAAGATGGTGGCATCATCAAGGAAGAAAAAGGGAGTGTATTTGAGAGAGATTAGAGAAGTACAATCAAGAGGTCTTGGTAACATGGGATGTGGGGCTAGGGGCATTGAAAGAGTGAAGACTCAAGGATGACACATAGGTCAGAGGCTAGGAGGATGGGGGTTGACAGCAAGAGGGTGGAAAGGGGGAGGGGTTCAGAGGAAGCTAATGAGGGCAGTTTGGGACGTGGTGAGTCTTCTGGACATCCAGTCAGAGATATCTGATAGGTAGACAAGATCAGCAGGGAAGATGGGGCTGGATAAATAGATGTGAGAATCATCAGCATAGCAATTATAATTGAATCCAGGGGAGCTGATGACATCACCGAGCGAAGAAGTGTAGAGGGAGAAGAGGGCCCAGGACAGAGAGCAAGGGACAACCATGGTTAGAGGGATGAAGATCCATCAACGGAGACAGAGGAGTGGTCAGAGAGGCAGGCGGCATGCAACATTCGAGTTGGAAGAGACTTAGTTGAACTCTCTCATTTTACACATGGGGAAACTGAGGCCCAGAGAATGAAAGGGACCCATTGTCATGTAAGTGGGGGAACCAGGAATAGGACCAGAATCACAGAATGTGAGGGTTGGAACGGACCTGAGCAGCCATCCTGTCTTACCCAATGCTAATATAATCAATAAGTATGCCTCCAGCTTCTGCTCAATGACTTTCAGTGAAGAGGAATTCGTTGTCTTCTGAGGCAGCCACATATGGATAGTTCCGATGAGCTCCTTGGTCACCTCTTCCCATGGTTGTGATATGCTGGTGAGGGTCCAATTCGAGATGTGGAGCAGCCCAGTGGATGGTGACTCCTATTTCTGATTCATTCTCTCCCTATCTCTGCCCCCCCATACACCTTTTGAGCCTTTGGGGCCCCGACATGTGGTCCCCCGGGCTAGCAACATGGTCAGACAACATGGCCGGCAGGGATAAGAGGGGCATCTTCCAGTTGGAGGCTGGGCTCTGCTCTCGCCTCTCTTGAAGGTTCTGGATCCCCAGTCAAAATGAAGCACGTAGGGAGGGCAGCTAGGAGGTATTTCACTTGGGGCCATGACTCTGACCCACGAGTCCTCAATTCCCACAGCTTCAGGTGTCAGGGCCCCAAAGTTTAGGGGGTTAAAAAAGTGGGAAGACATGAGAATGAGCCCAGAATGGAGGAGGTCACTGACCACTGAACACCTACAGATCCCTTATCGAAGCCTGGCCATTTATTTCACTAAGGCAGCAGAAAAATGTCCAAGGGGATGGCTGGAGAAAGCGAGAGGGTAGAGGTATGAGGGAGGGAGCAGGGGTCCAGGACCAGGTGAGAAGGAAGGACATCGAGTTTCTCTTTCTACAAAGAGAGCTGGGTTTGGAAGTGAAAGATGTGGATTTGAAACCCATCTCAGCCTTTTGGCTGGTTTCTCTGCCTCATGTCCCTCCCCTTTCCAGACCCTTCTCCTTTTTGGGGGTGTAGGGGGAGGCAATCAGGGTTAAGTGGCTTCCCCAGGGTCACACAGCTAATAAGTGTCTGAGGCTGGATTTGAACTCAGGTCCTCCTGACTCCAGACCCAGCATTCTACCCACTGCACCACCTAGCTGCCCCCAGACCCTTCTCTTCTCAGCTGTCAAATGACCTTCCTTAAGTTCCAGGGGTACCATATTGTGCCCCTGTTCAGTAAACTCCAGTGGTTTCCTGTTACCCCTAGGATTAAATATAAAATCCTGTGTTTGGCTTTCAAAGTCCTCCAGAACCCACGCCCCTCCTACCTTCCCAACCTTCTTACACTTCCCCCCTCCCCCCTCCAGGTAGCATTTAATCCAGAAGTCTCTCCCTATCCCTTTCATTCTAGTGTCTTCCCTCAGTGGATTATCTCCAATTTGTCAGTCAGATGATAAACATTTATTTAGTGCCTGTTATGAACCAGGTATTTTGCTCAGCCCTGGGAATCCAAAGAAAGGCAAAAGACAGACCCTGTCATCAGAGAGCTCACAGTCTAAAGTGGGAGGTGACATGCAGATGATCATGCAAAGAAAACAGGATAAACTGGAGAGAATCTAACATTAGGGGGATCAGGAAAAGTCTCCTGCACATATCGGCTTTGTACCTGGTTGTCTGCATCCTTCTCCTGCTGGACTGGGACTATCTTTTACCTTTCTTGTGCCTGATGCATAGTAGGCACTTAATAATGCTGGTTTGTTCTCCCTCCTTGCTGACTGACTCACTGACAGTACGTGTCCTGGAATGTACCTGCTCCACCTTTCTGGGCTTCATTTTCCCCACCTGGACAATGAAGCAATTAGGCTTAATGACCTCAGTGAAGGAAGGGAGCGAGCACTGATTGATCGATGATTGTGAGGCAATTGGAGTTAAGTGACTTGACCAGGGTCACAAAGCTAGTAAGTGTCAAGTATCTGAGGTCAGATTTGAATTCAGGTCTTCCTTACTCCAGGGCCATCTAGCTGCCCCTGAGTATGAATTTATTAAGTGACTAGTATGAGCCAGGAACTGTTCTAAGTGCTTTACAAATATTATCTCCTTT